ATAATGTTTGTTGCATTTCAGTCGAGTCATAGAGTTTATCGTGTCACCACATTATATTATTTTACTCAGCAATTTAGTTGTGCTTATTAGAAAAAAAAGAAGTGAATATTAAAAAAGTAAATGTGGGTTAGTGAGTTGAAAGTAAAGATTTTTGTCGCAATTTCAACACTTTCAAATAAGTTACCCTAAAACAGTAATAATGCAGTACAATGAGAACCAAAATATCAATCCGAGGAAGTAATAAGAGTATATGATTGAGTTATGAATGATTAAATGGGGAACTAAACTAAAAATAAAATTTACAATCTTAGACTAAACTAAAATGAGGTAAAATCCTAATATGCAGGGAATGAAAAAACTGCAGAATGCAAAAATGGCTAAAAATATGCAGAATAACAAAAACAATGTAAAATCTCAAATCTGACCCAAAATCACAAATCTGACCGTGATGAACAGTAACCACGGTCAGTTTCGAAAATCTGACCGTAATGAACAGTAATAACAGTCGGAAATCACGGTCAGAATTTTGTGCTCTCGGTCAATGTGTAAAAACTAATGACTTTTCTCGGTCAAAAATGGAAATTAGTGAACAAAATATATGATTGACCTATAATAATGTAAACAGAAATGAAAAACAATGCAGATGAATGAAGTTAAACGAAATTCATAAATCTGACCACGATGAACAGTAACCACGGTCAGAAATGCAAACCAGACTTGGTCAGAAATATGAACCTCGGTCAGAATGAAATTTAAAAACAATTTCTCGGTCAAGAATCAAATTCAAGGTGTACAATATATGAATGACCGAGTGAAATGTAATTATTTTTGAGTTTTGAGTTTTTAAAATGGAAAATGATTGTAGTGAACAGTACTGGTGGTCAAAACAACAACAAAATGAAAAGGTCTCGGTCAAAATTCAAATATGAAGATATGCCTCGGTCAAGAATCAAATTAAGTGTATAACATGTATGGTTGACCGAGGGAAATGCAATTATTTTTGTATTTTGAGTTTTAAAAAGGTGAGATGACCGTGTGAGAGTGTTTTGGTGCGCGTGGCTAAAAACCTGGCCGAGTGGGAGTGGTCAGTTCGGTCAAAATGTTCTAAACAGTGGTAAATGTGTGATGTGAATGATGGAATGAGTGCAGTAATGTATATTTATGAGTTTTTCAGTATTCAAGGGGGATTTGTAGTGCAGAAAATTAAAATGAACACTTAACCACACCTAACCTATTCTAATCTCATGCTAATCTATGACAGAACCTAAAACAGTGCAGTAAAATCTATCTAAACCTAAAACTAAGCTTCTACAGAGATTAAATCAAGTAAACAAAGCAATAAAACCTAGCTACCGTGACTGTAAAGCAATTAAAACATCAAAACAGTAAAGTCAAAGCAGTAAAATGCAGAAAATTAAAGAAAGCAAGAGCAAGAACTGTGGAGCAGATTCGGTGTAAGCAAAATTGCAAGACTAATGCATTTTTAACACTGAAAACCTAATTAATCAATCAAGCATTCACCATACAGTTCAACAAAGTGATTGCAAGCTTCAATCCTCAACCGAGAGACATCCACAAGCTAAAGCAAGTCAAGAACACAAGTCTTGAACAAGTTGTCACATGCAATTCAGTTCCAGCAGATTTTGTTCGGTAAAAACCTAATCTAATTCATGAATGCAGTAAAGAAAAGCAATTAAAGATGATAGAAGAAGGAAATCCAGATCCAATTCGTGAAGAACAATGAAGAAGAATGAACACACATACATGGAAGATTGAGATGCAAGCAAGGAGAGAGAGCCATGGTGCAGTGGAGAGAACAAATGAGAGAATTCTGATCGATTTGATTGAATCTGAACTTGAAAACTTTGACTATATGTTATTACATTAAGTTAATCTACTATATACTTCAACTAATGTACAATTAGAACTTACAAGGCCCATAACCGGACTTAATCCAATAAGATGTTGAAGAGTCGCGCTGCCTTCGTTTCAGTGCAGTACCGCGCGATTCGAATGCTTGCAGTTTTCTCAATTCTTCTTCAAATGAAACGATTTTGGTCTCATTAGAAAGCTTGTTAAGTTATCTTTCAAACACCACCGTTTTCATTATTTTTGGAGGTCTATAGAATTTATGATAATTATTTTACTGAGGCATGCCCGGTGGACCGACTCTGTGCGCGTAACCTCCCTTAAATAATTTAAATAAAACTCAATTTAGCTCCGAATTGAGTGTTTCTTGATCCTCTCGAAATATGAATTTGTCTAACTTTCAATGCTTCAAGAATCATGATTTTAGGATCTTTGTAGAAAAAATGATAAATAAAACAGTAAACTAATATCAGTACCCGTATACAATAAAATACAACTAATTTATTGTTTTTATGCAGAATTTTATATTAAGGCTTCTAAAGGCCTAGTAATACAAAATTATAGTTAATTAAGCTTTATTAACATATTATAAACAATAATATAACATTATTAACTACTTAAGATGTGCTGAAAATCAGTCACATCATGAGTCAACCCACCTAACCTACCAATATATAGTGGGTTAAACCAGGTTGTAAAATTTGTTGGCTCGTCATGAAGTGAGTCGGGTTGAGTTCATTTATTTTCTACTTAACCAATGGTGAGTTAATTCGTGTGAGTTGGATTTGCTCACTTTGATACCCCTTGTTGTGACATGACTGAAATGTGACATACATTGTGATACAACTAAAACACGGTGATGCGGCAAACACAATAAATATGTTGGCTTATGTATGTAGGGGTATCAATATCAGTTGTAACCCATGAGCCAATTCGGCTCACAATAGTTCGAGCCGGGTTGGGTTCATTTTTTATAAATTCTACCTATAATGAGTTAAAAATGAACTCAACTCACTTAGCCCACATGTTAAGTTGTTTCGAGCCAAGTTTTGACTCCACATAAAGTGAGTCATGTTCAGCTTGCCTATCTTCTGCTCGACCCATGGTGACCCAAAACTACAAACACAAATAAACACAAACACACACAAACACAAACATAAACACAAACATAAACACAAACACAATCATAAATAAACATAAACAAACACACACACACACAATCACAAACACAAACGCAAACCCAAACAAAAACACAAATACAAACACACACAAACACAATCATAGGCAAACACAAACACACACACACATAAACACAAGCACAAACACAAATACAAATGCAAACACAATAGGATGACAGTGGAAGTATAGACACATTAATAAGTATTGGCAGAATATGATCATACCTGCATTAGGATGTACACGTGAACCTGCATAAGACAAATACAAACACAAAAGGATGATAGTGGAAGTATTGACACATTAATAAGTATTAGTGGAATAGGATCATACCTGCAATAGGATGTACAAGTGCACTTACATAAGACAAACACAATACGATGACAATGGAAGTCTAGACACATTAATAAGTATTGGTGGAATAAGATCATACTTGCAACAGGATGTACACTTGCACTTGCATAACACAAACCCAAACAGAAAGATTGGGGTGTGTGAAAATCTACTTCAAAACTTTTGCATATAATTTACATGAATTGTTATCTATGCTCCTCATTTGTTTATACATTGAAGGCTACTATTACTCTGTATGGGAGAGTAAATATGATGATGACCTCAGAATTTTTCAAATATTTTCTTTCAGTACGGCTAATCCCCTATTGATTATTGAACGCAATATAAAACCATGGGGAACTGGAGAGTAGATAAAAAGTTGAAAAATTATAAAAACCATGGGTACATACATATATATCCTAAGCTTTTTTATCACATGGTGGTTGAAAATTTTTGCTTCTGAGCAAAGTAAACTAGCAATTTTTTTATTCCTTTTACTTGAACGCCATCAAAACACACTAGATATGGCTGTTGTTATATCCTATTTTAAAATCATTCAGGAATGAATAGAAGCTTGTGGATTTCTCTGTGGATTATTGAATGCCAAAGCACAATTCTCTGCCTGCACTTGTACTGTTTCTACTACTAGTGTAACTGTTATTACTTACTAATGAATGTCCTTTTACCTTGCCAAGTTTAATCTGGCAATAGCCAAATCCCTATTTTCTTTTTAGTTATTGATTATTGATTTTGAACCTGTCTTTATTTTACCTTTTCAGCAAATAGTTGCCTCTGTTCATCTGTGTGTGATCATTGTAGTAAGAAAAAATCATTCATATTAATTTAATTAGAGTTCAAATAATAGTATCATGGACTTAGGAATGTTGATCTTTGTCTTTCATGCTAATTCAACAATATTTGCATAAAATCTAAAACTTTACTGACCGTGCTTTCTAAATGCTCCTTTCCCTGGATAACTTTATCATCGTTGCAAAGCACTATCATCATTTACTTTGTCTAGAACCAGTGTTTTTCCAGTGTAAACATTTCCTGTTTATATTGGTAACTAATTATAAGTTAAATATTGCAGAGTGGCAAGTCATCAGCTGTATATGCTTGTGCCAAAGAGCAAGGGTTTAGTATTTTAGAGGTATCACAGTTTATGAATATATTTTTTAAATTTATGCTTATAAATTGATATACTTTGTAGTAATAATATTCATCGATTGACCCCATGGTATTTTAAATAGCCACCTTAAAATTTTATAAGCATTACTGAAGATCAAGTATAGTGATTGTTTAGCCGGATTTAAATATAGCCTAATGAAGTTTGCTGTCTTCCCTGAAATTTGAATTTTTGGTCTTTCCTGTTTAATGGGAAAATTGATTAGCTGAAAGATTGTTATTTTTGGTTTAAAACATTGAGAAAGTATGGTAGAAACACTTACTTGTATGCCCAGTTGCTAATCTGGGCTTTTCATACAAAGTTCTTGAGAAACAGATGTGCCCAATATATTTATTCCCCTCAAACATCTATCAACATTATGTTTTCTATTAAAACATCTACTAGTTGTTAAAACATTTATTCTTCTTGTCATATATCTTTCTCTTCAACCATGAATATGGCCAAACTTAATTATTGTTCATGTTATCTAAAATGCTCAATTCCACATTCTAGAAATGGGACTGCTATCAGGAACTTGGAAGAACCTCTTACTCTAATTGGGTTCCACAGGTTTGCTAACTTGTTCTATCAATGCTAGCTGATAACTTTCAATCTTCTGTGGCTGAGTAATTTTAACTAACTGTAATGGTCTTGCATTTACTTTCACTTTCCTGCAATATTTTGTTGGATTACTTGAGTGTTAAATTTTTTTAAGGGGCAATTCAAATTTCTCAGGAAATCAAAAGTCTTTTGAACATGGAAGTGTATATTCCCTTGTTTGACTTTTATATAATAAACAATACTTTATGCCAGATTGCAGGAAGCAATCTATCTTAAGTTGGAGATTCAAGAGTATAGTAATGTGATTATCCAATGGGTGAGAGCCAGAATAAATTTTGATCTTAAAAAAGTCTTTTTATAACTTCCTTATTGTAAGCTAACTCAACATAATATTCATGTTTGACACTATGAGAATCCAAAACAATTCTTGAAGACGTGTAGTTTTTGCTTCTTTCTTCAAACACTGGTCATTTGCTGCTTTTATTTGCATCAACTGGGTCCTTCCCTTCTTCAATCCTCCGAGACAATGCTAAAATGTCTAGGTCTAAGTAGAGTTGATATTTATAATTAAAGTTCATTGTTGCATGATGTGCCTTGATTCAATTGTATTGAGTAAAACCAAGTTACTCCATAAAAGTAGCTTATATAGACCTGTTTTGTGATAATATATTATTTGATGTGTATATATTTCAGGCAATCAGAAAACAAGGCGAGTCCACAGAAGAACTCTAAAAATTTGCCCCCATCTCCAACTTTGTTCAATGGTGGATCATCATTGAAGTTACTAGGTGAAAATGATGAGTCTGAAAAGTATAAATTCCATCCTCTAGTCCTAGTTGAGGATGTGGACATCCTTTACACCGAAGATCGTGGATGTATAGCTGCCATACAACAGATTGCTGAGACTTCAAAGGGGCAAATTATATTTATTCCCCTCAAAAATCTATCAACATTATGTTTTCTATTAAAACATCTACTAGTTGTTAAAACATTTATTCTTCTTGTCATATATCTTTCTCTTCAACCATGAATATGGCCATACTTAATTATTGTTCATGTTATCTAAACAGCTCAATTCCTCACATTCTAGAAATGGGACTGCTATCAGGAACTTGGAAGAACCTCTTACTTCAATTGGGTTCCACAGGTTTGCTAACTTGTTCTATCAATGCTAGCTGATAACTTCCAATCTTCTGTGGCTGAGTAATTTTAACTAACTATAATGGTCTTGCATTTACTTTCACTTTCTTGCAATATTTTGTTGGATTACTTGAGTGTTATATTTTTTTGAAGGGCAATTTAAATTTATCAGGAAATCGTGTTATATTTTTTTGAGGGGCAATTTAAATTTCTCAGGAAATCAAAGGTCTTTTGAACATGGAAGTGTATATTCCCTTGTTTGACTTTTATATAATAAACAATACTTTATGCCAGATTGCATGAAGCAATCTATCTTAAGTTGGAGATTCAATATCCAATGGGTGAGAGCCAAAATAAATTTTGATCTTAAAAAAGTCTTTCTATAACTTCTTTACTGTAAGCTAACTCAACATACAAACACAAAAACAAACACAAACACAAAAACATAAACATAAACAAAGACAAACACAAACACAAAGACAAAGACAAACACAAACACAAGAGGATGATAGTGGAAGTGTAACACATTAATAAATTAGTAGGAGAATCAGATCATACCTGTAATAGGATGTACACTTGCATCTGCATAAGAAATATGAAAAGGATGTGTGGCAGACTTACCTTCAGCACAAATATGTTTGCATCATGAGTGCTGCTAGAAAGAGAACACAATGAAAAACACAAACACAAACACAAAGACAATTACAAACACAAACACAAACAACACGCGAATACAAACATACACAAACAAGCTAAGACAAACACAAATAAAACCATAAACACAAAACCAAACCAAAACACAAACACAAACATGAAAAAACATGCAGACACAAACAGAAAGACAAATACATACACAAACACGCACACAAACTCAAAAAAAAAAAAAAGAAAAAAAAAACATATACACATCAACATACACAAATACACACATAAGCACAAAAACAAATAAACAAAAACACGAAGCCAAAGACAAAACAAGCAAACAAAAACACAACACACGCAAACACAAACACAAACACTTGCACATACAAAACCCAAACACAAAATCGTGCACAAACACAAATACAAAAATCATATAAACATACACAAACACAAAAAACACGAAGATAAACACACACAAACAAGCAGAGAAAAACACAAACACAACCACACAAAAAAACACAAAAACACAAACACAAACACAAAGAAAAAGACAAACACAAATACACAAAAACACGAAAAAAGAAAGAAAAACACAAAAAACACATGGGAACACAAACACAAATACAAGTAAGAAACTTACACACAAATATAAACACCAATACAAACAAAAACAAAAAACAAACAGGAACACAAAAACAAACATAAACACAAATATAATAGGATGATAGTGGAACTGTAAACAGATTAATAAGTATTGGTGAAATTGCATCATAACTGCAATAGGATATACAGTTGCACCTGCATAAGAAATATCAAAAGGATGGGTGACAGACTTACCTTTAGCACTATAGCACACGCATGTTTCCATCATGAGTGCTGCTAGAAAGAGAACTCAAGTAGAAACAAAATCAAAACATCTAAAGAAATGGAGAAGAAATAGATGTGAAACAGAAACACAAATTAAAATACAAACACAAATACGCACAAAGACAAACACACAAACAAACAAACACAAACACAAACACCAACACAATCAAAATCACAAACACAAACACAAACACAAATACAAACACAAAAATAAAAACAAACACAAAGACAAAGACAAACACAATAGGATGATAGTGGAAGTGTAACACATTAATAAATTATTGGTAAAATAGGATCATACCTGTAATAGGATGTATACTTGCACATGCATAAGAAATATGAAAAGGATGTGTGGCATACCTACCTTCATCACAAATATGTTTGCATCATGAGTGCTACTAGAAAGAGAACACAATGAAAAACACAAACACAAAGACAATTACAAACACAAACACAAACAACACACAAATACAAACACACACAAACAAGCTAAGACAAACACAAACACAAACAAAAACATAAACACAAAACCAATACAAAACACAATCACAAGCATGAAAAAAACACACAAACACAAATAGAAAGACAAGTACATACACAAACAAAAACACAACACATGGAAACATAAAGACAAACATGCACACAAACACAAAAAAACAAAAAGACAAAAAAAACACATACACATCAATATACACAAATGCACACAGAAGCACAAAAACAAACAAACAAAAACACGAAGCCAAAGACAAAACAAGCAAACAAAAACACAACACACACAAACACAAACACAAACACTTGCACATACACAAACACAAACACAAACTCGTGCACAAACACAAATACAAAAATCATATGAACATACACAAACACAAATAAAAACACAAAGACAAACGCACACAAACAAGCAAAGAAAAACACAAACACAAATACAAACACAACCACAAAAAAAAACACACAAACACAAACACAAACACAAACAAAAAGACAAACACAAATACACAAAAACGCAAAAAAATATGGAAACAGAAACACAAACAAAAATACAAATAAGAAACTTACACACAAATATAAACACCAATACAAACAAAAACAAAAAACAAACAGGATCACAAAAACAAACAGAAACATGAAAACAAACATAAACACAAACACAAACACAAATACAATAGGATGATAGTGGAACTATAAACACATTAATAAGTATTGTTGAAATTGGATCATACCTGCAATAGGATATACACTTGCACCTGCATAAGAAATATGAAAAGGATTGTGATAGACATACCTTCAGCACATATAGCACACACATGTTTGCATCATGAGTGCTGCTAGAAAGAGAACTCAAGTAGAAACATAATCCAAACATCTAAAGAAATGGAGAAGAAATAGATGTGAAACAGAAACACAAATTAAAATACAAACACAAACACAAACACGCACAAAGACAAACACGCACAAAGAGAAACACACAAACAAGCAAACACTAACACAAACACAAACACCAACACAATAAAAAACACAAACACAAATACAAACACAAAAAAAAATAAACAAACAAAAACACGAAGCCAAAGACAAAATAAGCAAACAAAAACACAACACATGCAAGCACAAACATAAACACGTGCACAAACACAAACACAAACTCGTGCACAAACACAAACACAAAAACCATATACACATACACAAACACAAATAAAAACACGAAGACAAACACACACAAAGAAGCAAACAAAAACACAAACACACAAACAGAAACACAAACATAAATACAAACACAAACACAAAAACTAACACAAACAAAAAGAAACAAAAACAAGCAAAAATAAACAAAAACACAAAAAAACATGCAAAGAGAAACACAAATACAAATACAAATAAGAAACTTAAACACAAATATAAACACAAATAGAAACAAAAACAAAAAACAAACAGAAACACAAAAACACATTAATAAGTATTGGTGAAATTGGATCATACGTGCAATAGGATGTACACTTGCACTTGCATAAGAAATATGAAAAATATGCGTGACAGACTTAGCTTTAGCACATATAGCACACGCATGTTTGCATCATGAGTGCTGCTAGAAAGAGAACTCAAGTAGAAACATAATCAAAACATCTAAAGAAATGGAGAAAAAATAGATATGAAACAGTAACACACTAAAATACAAACACAGACACAAACACGCACAAAGACAAACACACAAACAAGCAAACACTAACACAAACAAAAACACCAACATAATAAAAAATACAAACACACAAACACAAATACAAACACAAAAACAAAAACAAACACAAACATAAAAATAAAAACAAACTCAAACACAAACACAATAGGATGATAGTGGAAGTGTAACACATTAATAAATTATTGGTAGAATAGGATCTCATACCTGTAATAGGATGTATACTTGCCGCTGCATAAGAAATATGAAAAGGTTGTGTGGCAGACTTTCCTTCAACACACACATGTTTGCGTCATGAGTGTTGTTAGAAAGAGAACACAATGAAAAACACAAACACAAACACAAAAACAATTACAAACACAAACACAAACAACACACAAATACAAACACACACAAACAAGCAAACACAAACACAAACAAAAACATAAATACAAAACCAAACCAAAACACAAACACAAACATGAAAAAACAAGCAAACACAAACTGAAAGACAAATACACACACAAACAAAAAAACAACACACGGAAACATAAAGACAAACACGCACACAAACACACAAAAAAAACAAGACAAAAAAAAACACATACACATCAACATACACAAATACACACACAAAAACAAGAAGCCAAAGACAACACAAGTGAACAAAACCACAAGAGACAGAATCACAAACACACACGTGCACAAACACAAACACAAACTCTTGCACAAACACAAAAACAAAAAACATATACACATACACAAACACAAATAAAAACACGAAGACAAACACACACAAACAAGCAAAGAAAACATAAACATAAATACAAACACAAACACAAAAAAAACACAAACAAACACAAACACAAAAAATACAAAAACAAAAACTAACACAAACACAAACAAAAATACAAACACAAATACACAAAAACATGCAAAAAGAAACAAAAACACAAAAAAAAAATGCAAACATAAACAGAAACACAAATACAAATAAGAAACTTAAACACAAATATAAACACAAATACAATGAAAAAGAAAAAACAAACATAAACACAAATACAATAGGATGATAGTGGAACTGTAAACAAATTAATAAGTATGGGTGAAATTGGATCATACCTGTAATAGGATGTACACTTGCACCTGCATAAGAAATATGAAAAGGATGCCTGGCAGACTTAGCTTCAGCACATATAGCACACGCATGTTTGCATCATGAATGCTGCTAGAAAGAGAACTCAAGTAGAAACATAATTAAAACATCTAAAGAAATGGAGAAGAAATAAATATAAAACACAAACATAAACACAAATACAATAGGTAGATAGTGGAACTGTAAACACATTAATAAGTATTGGTGAAATTGGATCATACCTGCAATA